GTGTTTTCCGGGACGCCTTCGAAAACATCTCAGAAGGTTGTTGGTTTTCCGAGCCTTTTCAACAGGCCCGCCCCTTCTCATCTCCCCCCTGGGCTCGCCGTCGATCTTTCGCCTGAGGAAAAGGGGGGACGAAGCGTATCCATCGATCCCATGCCCATGATCAGCCTGGCTGAGATCGATGCCCCCAGAATGTGTGGGGGTGAGGCGGAGGCGGAGAGGTTAAGAGCCAGCATGATGAGTGGACGGAAAATGGATGACAACGGAGGCATGAAGAGGAATAATAGGAGGAGGATGAGGAGGAGGAGGAACAGCAGCAGGAGAAGGAGGAGGATGAGGAGGAGGAGGAGGAAGGGGAGGAGGAGGGGAGGAACAGTAGCAGGAGAAGGAGGAGGAGGAGGAGCAGGAGGAGGAGCGAGACTCCCTGGTGGGAGGCTCGTGGAGCTGCCCGGCGCGGATGTAGACTGCTACCGCGTCTCGTGGCCGTTCATGCGCTCCCCCGCCGCGTTGCTGGGAGAAGTTGGCGTTTGGGAGGAGAGGGTGAGGAAAAGGAGGGCTTGGGCTAGGGGTGGAAGTGCGAGGGTATGGTCGAGTGGGGGGAGAGGCTGACAAGTGAGAGGAGGACAGGGAGGAGGAGAGGAGATTAGGATTGGGGGGGATGGGGTTGGAGAATAATTGTGATGTCAACTGTTGGGAGTGCCAAGCTTCGAAGTCATACATTGCGGGGACGTCTCAGGCGAAACGCCCAGCCCGACCCAACGTCACGTCTGATGGCGCGACTGGGAGGAGTTCTCTGTGAGGAACTGGGGTTCAGTGAATGGATCGATGAGGGCATCGATGAGGAGGGGCTTCGTATGATAGGGAGGTAATGGTCATGGCCATGGTAATGGTTATGGTCATGATTATGGTCATGGTCTGCTAATTTTAATGCTAATACTAATGCGAATGCTAATGCTAATGGTAAGGGTAATGGTAATGATAATGGTAATTGTGCATCGGCGAGTTCGCCGCGCCGCTACGAGGTGGGCCCAAACTTGGCCCCTGCCTCGTTTGGGAACGGCCAATTCTCAGGATCATCATATGTTGGCCAGCAGCCAGCAGTTTAGCTCGCCGAAGCTCCCTCGCCCATTCGACCACCGAACCGGGCGACTCAACACCGTGCAGGCGGGCGACCTTAAATGGGTCCAGCAAAGGCGAAGCGGAGGAAGATGATGGCATGATGATCTGCTGGGAAAGGATGAGAGACAGGAACATGAGGAGGATGAGGAGGATGATGAAGAAGAGCAGGAAACTCTGCGGAACAGTTAATCGCCTAGGGACATGGGGCCTCAGTGTTCTTGAGGGGCTGAAGGAGGGGCCTGAGGGAGTCTCTCCATCGGTCGCCTCACCTTCTGGTGACGTTCCGCCCTTGTCTTGTTCGGAGGCAGGGCTGGACCCGGGGTGGACAGCTTAGCTCTAGGTCGGTCAGAGTTGTCCAACGTCGTCAACACTTTTTATTTGGATCGGTTGGCGCGTATGAGTGTGTAAGCACGTAAGGGAGAGGGGGTTCTTACCTGCTCGCAAAGAACCGCCCATAACCTGTCCCCGCTCGGGGTCTTGAAACGACTGCCGACGTGGCGCTCGAGGACTCCAGCAAGGAGACGCACATCGTATCAAAGGGCCCGGACGGCGAGGTTCTGTGGCACCGTGACGCGTTTTCTCTCTCAGGGCGGAGGCCTCTCGCCGCTCTTGGGTTTGGAGGCCTCTGGGGGCCCTCGCCGGGCCCCAGTGCCGTCAAACTGCGAGTCAGGATGAAAAGCCGGCCCTGGGGAGGAGGGTGGAGACTTCTCTGGGGGCCGCGCATTGAACACATCAGGACGTCGGATGTCTGGGTTGCTGCGTCCGCGCCAGGGCTTGTGATCCGCTCGCCAGTGGGGCCCCCCCTTCCGCCCGTCCGTCTGATGGGCCACCCCCACCAGCCCGCCCTTGGGGGGGGGGGGGCGCGCCCAAGATGCCCCCAGAAGGGACCCACGAAAGCCATGGGAGACCCCCAAGAAGGCCACTGGAGGCCCCAAAGAGGGCCCTAGATGGCTTCAGAAAACCTCTGCAGGGCCCCAGCTCACCAAGACGGCCCAAGAAGGCCCCAGGACGGCCCAAGAGTGCCTCTTGGACGGCCCAAGAGTGCCCTTTTGGACGGCCCAAAAGAGCCCTAAAACGTCCAGACGGCGTTTTCCGTGCAATGGCTGCGCTCACGCCAGCCAGCCTGTCTTTCCCGTACCTCTATCACCCTCTCTCTCTCTCTATTTTTTTTTTGTTTTCTCTCTCTCTCTCTCTCTCTCTCTCTCTCCCCCAGGCCAGGCGTGAGACCGTGCTCCGCACGGTGGGCGGGCAACCGAGCGACCGACCACCGCCTCCGCCTGGAGAGGCGCCGTGGGCGGTTCCCACAGCCCAGCGGTTGTGGCTGTCTCTCCCTCGCTCCCGAGGGAGGATGCGGCGGGCGGGGAGGGGAGAGGACGCGGCGGGCGGCGGCGGCGGCGGAGCGCGGCGGGCAGACGAGGCTGACGGCCAGGATGCAAAGAAAGAGCAACGGTAGGAGGAGGAGGAGGAGGAGGAGGAGGAGGAGGAGGGAGGAGGAGGAGGAGGAGGTGGAGGAGGAGGAGGAGGAGGAGGAGGGGAGGAGGAGGAAAACGGGCCCTAGAAATCCGGGCCTTCGCCGGGACGAGCTCTTCATCCTGGGCCGTCTTGTGACGGCCCGCCCCGTGGAGAGCCCCCGGGGGGGGGGGGGCCGTCCCGAGCTCGGCGAGCAAGAACCACCTCTCTCATCAAGGGCTCCCTCGAGGGCGCGAAGTTATTCGCGCTTCGCGCTTCGCGGTCCTCGTTCCTTCTCCCCCTCCTCCTCGTCCTCCTCTTCTCCCTCTGGGGGGGCGGCGCGAGAGCGCGAAGTTATTCGCGCTTCGCGCTTCGCGGAGCGCGAAGCGCGAAGTTGGGAGCCCTAGCTCATGCTGCATGCACGGTCGAGGCGCTGGCGCAAGGACCTCTTCGGGCTCGGGAGGGGGCCGTCTGTCTGCCCCCTTGGCCCTTGCGTGGCCGGGGCACCCCTTTTGCGTGGCCGAGGCCAAGCGCGGCTGGAAGGGCCCCTTCGCTCCTTGGCCAGTGCTCCCCAAGAGCACGATCGCCGTGCACTTTGCGCGGCGCGGGTGTCGCTCTCGCACCTGGACCGCGCGGCCAGGGCTCCCGCGCGACGCGCCTGGCCCGCCCGGGCGCGCGCGCAGGCGCCCGCGGGTGGCGTATGCCGTCGGGGGCGCGTGCCGCATTCTGCACCACGCGCTGCTGCAGGCGCGCCGCGGCCTTGAGCCGCGGGGGTGTCGCCCCCCGCCCGCGACCGCTGCGAGCCGACGACGTCGTCGTCGTCGTCGTCGTCGTCGTCGTCGTCGTTGTCGTCGTCGTCCGTCGTCTCCGTGTTCGCTGTCATCGTCGTCGCCGTCGTCCGTCGTCCGTCGTCCGTCGTCGTCAGTCATCATCGTCGTCGTCGTCGCCGTCGTCCGTCGCTGTGGCTGTCGTTCCCACGGTCGTCGTTGCTGTTCGGCGGCGAGCGAAGGGGGGAAGTGAGAGGGGACGGGCCTCCTGAGAAGACTCGGCAGCCCCCTGGCCTTCGGAGACGTTTTTTTCAAAGCCCTCAACCGAACACAGATTTGTTTCAGAAGGCGCGAGGACTTCTGAGAAGTCCCACCGCCTTTGGGAAGGCCGTCTCCTTCTCAATTCCCCCCCTCGCTCGCCGCCGAGCTGTGGCCGTGGTCGCCGTCGGCGCCGCCCGTGCCCTCGCCGCCGCCCCCCGACGTCCAGGGCACCTGCTGCCCCCGCTGCCCGCCACTGCTGCCAGCCCCTGGTGCCGCTCGTCCACCGCCGCCGCCGTCACAGCGGCCACGCCGGCGCCGCCGCCGCCGTCGCCGCCACCGTCGCCGCGGCCACGCCGGCGCTGTTTGTTGTCGACGCCGCCGCCGCCGCCCTGCCAGCCGCGCGGAGGCGATGCGGGGCACCCCGCCCTCGGCGCCGTGCCGCGAGGCGCCCTCCGCTCCCCTTTCGCCCCCCCGCCCCGCGGTCGCCGCCGCTGGCGCGGCGTGCTGCCGTTGGCGTCGCCGCCGTCGACGGCGGCGGCTGCGTCGTCATCTGCGCGTCCGCCGCCGTCGGTGTCGACGCCTGCGCCGCCGCCACGTGCTTGGTCGGTCTTCGTTGGCGTCGGCATCGGCGTTCTCGACTTCGTCCTTGACTCGTCGACGCCCCTGCTGTCGCGTCTGCTGCTGCTCCTTGTCCTTGCTCTCCTCGAGGAGGGAAGGGGCGGACGAGGAGGAGGAGGAGGAGGAGGAGGAGGAGGAGGATCAGAACACCACGGCGCGCTGACACATAGAAGTTCGAATAAGCAACCAACTGCGAAATGGAGAAGATAATTATACTTCGATTGGTACTCAGGGGCTGTATTGACACGGAAGCCTTCGATGTGGAGACGCTTTTATTAGTACGGCATGCCGATCATCGCAACATTTCTTGGCTAGAGAATCGGCCTGTCACCAGAACTGGATGTTTTGAGGGAGGAACAACCACCCAGACTGGACAATTGGCGTTTACCAAGCAGCCTTGGGCGTTTACTAAACAGCCCTGCCTTGTTAGTTAGATTCTTTCAGTGGGGGCGTTCAGTAAACGGCTCCGCTTGTCGGGATGGTTGTTCTGGGGGTGGATTTTTTGCCCTCTAATGCTGGCGTCCATGGACATTTTCCCGAAAGGATTGTTCCATGCTGACATGTCCGATGCCACGGGCGAGCAATAACGCATGGTGTGTCCATCCTGCCCCCTTGCAGTGCACGGGTTCTCCGTGCACTCCCACGGTTTGCGCACTCCGACGAAAGTCGTCGTTGGTTCAAGTCGTTCAGCCGGGTGCAGGCACTGAGGGTGCCCCGCGGGCTTTCTCGATGAAGTTGCGTCGCGCGACACGACCCGTCGGTCTCCAACCCGCGAGTTTCGAACAGGAATTTGAAATCGGCAACGACCTCTTGACGGCGTGGCGCGTCGACAATACGTCACCCAAATATCTCTAGCGCAAAGCCAGAGGACAGCACATCCAACTCAGTACCAGACATGTTCTTCTCGTTACGAGGTGCTTTGGCCTACGCGCTACGCATTCAAAAATGATTAATCGTGTATGCTCTATCCGTCGACAACGTACAAGAACCTACGCACCTTCAAGTTCGGAGGCTCCACGCCGCTTCGAGGAAACTCATCGTCGACCCGGACGTGATAGTTCTCCCCGCAACGAACTCAACACGGGAACTCGATAAGTTGACATTCGAACCTGCTGTCGAAGGAGTCGACGAGCAGAAATTATATGTATGTGGCACACGAGGCACCGTCCAAGCAGGAGCCCGTCGAACCTCCAGTCGACGTTCTTTGTAAGTCTCCTTGGCTACGATAGGTTCGCGTCGTGTCGACTCTCGTCGACCTCGCCGCAGGCGTTCAAGGTTGAACGCCGCCAGTGGCCCAGAATCGACTAACATGAAACGATTGGGCGATCGACGAGCCGCAAATCGTTCAAGGTTCAACGATCCACGCCGTGTCAGAAACCAACGCCGGGGTCGTCACGACACGAACCTGCAGTACATGCACGATCCTGCCACGCTTCATCGGCTCTTGCAGCAGCGCGGAACCTGGACGAGTGCTACCCGACCTTGACTGCTCCGCACGACTTCCAGGCGGGACCTTCGACACCCGGGGGCCCTCCGCGGCCTTCGGGAACTGGGCGGCCGAGCCATCAAACCACCCCCGACCATCGAAGCGAAACGGCTATATATACATATATGTATATATGTATATATATATATATACACGCATATGTGTGTATATATATATATATGTATATATATGTATGTATACATATACATACACATATACATACATACATACATACATACATACATACATACATACATACATACATACATACATGCATACATACATACATACATACATACATACATACATACATATATATATATATATATATATACATATATATATATATATATATATATATATACAGACATACCCGCGCACGAGGCCCGGGCGCTCGGGGTCGCGACCTGGAGGGGGCGTGTCGGTACCGGGGTCTCTGAGACCGCTCCCAGAGCACCCCGGAGGAAGACGCTCCCAGAAGCCCCCAGGGGACTTTGACAAGCTCCTCCAAGACAGCCCAGATAGCCCCAACGTGGCCTCAGATGGTTCCAGACCGCAGATCCACAGCGCAAGAGGCCTCCAAGAGGCCTCAAGAGACCTCCGAGAGGCGTCCCGAGAGAGCCCGAAGAGGCCCCAATCCTTGATTTCCAATGATTTTCCAATGCTTTTCAGGGGCTCGCGTTTTCGACCTTCCGACGCTCCACGGCCGCCGACGACGCCACCAAAACCGCCCCGAGGCCGCCCAAAAGGTCCCAACAGAGCCCCAAAACTGCCCCAGGGAGCCCGAACATTGCCCGGGACGAGCTTCAGACGGCCCAAGAGAGCCCCAGAGCAGGCCCAAGCTGGGCCCCAGAGCAGGAGCGGGAGGCCCCAAGGCGCTCCAAAACGGCCCTGATGGCCCCAACGTGGCCTTAGAAGGGCTTTAAAACGGCCAATGCACAGCCCAAGAGCCCTCCAAAAGGCCCCAAGAGAGCTCCGAGAGGCGTCCTGGGAGAGCCCGAAGAGGCCCATATCTTCATTTCCAGTTGTTTTTTCCATGTTGTTTGCATTATTGCATATTTCTCTCGCGTCAGCAACTTCGAAGTCAGAGCAGCTGCCAACGCCAAGCGTTTACCAACGGAATTATTGAGACGACAGCTCCAGTTACATGGTAAATTGGCCAGGGACTCCCCGGGAAGCCTGCCGAGAGCAATGCTGTTCGAGAGAGGCAGTTGCCAGCCAAGACGATGGAACAATTCACGCTCCCGTGGGCGCCCGCGCCTGCAATGGGCTACACATATGCACGCCCAGGCTCTTGAGGCAGCAGGGGGCAACTCTGACCATCTGCACGACCTTCTGACAGGCTCTCCAGCACAATGGCACAAAACCGTTGACGATCATTGTATGTAATATCGTTCTCCAGTCTCCCTGTCTTCCCCCCTCCGCGCTCCCTCTCCCCCTGCCCTTTTGCATGTTCAGTGTGCGCTGTGCGAGTGTAGTGGTACCCGCCTTCCAGCACTGGTCTATTTTCAGTGGCTGTGACCCGGCGCGCGTGCATTCTGCATAGTTTTCTGCACGTTTTCTGGCCTTCGTTTTCCATGCCAATGTGTGCCGATGCGCCGTCTAGGCGCGGCTTCCTCTGTTCTGTTCTGTTCGCATTCTTGCGTTCTCGAGCGCGCTCGAAGACGGCCGAAGACGCCCTGAAGATCGCCCCGAGACCGCCGAAGAGGCCCCCCAAAGGGCCCAAGACGGCCCAGGAGAACCTGAAGACTGCCCAAGAGCAGCCCAAGGCTGCCCAAGAGAGCCCCAGGACAGGCCCAAGCTGGGCCACAGAGCGGGAGCGGGAGGTCGAAGAGACCAAGAGGCAAGAGGGCTCAAGAGAGTTCCGAGAGATGCCCCGAGAGAGCCCTGAAGAGCAGCCCAAAATTGCCCAAGAGAGTCCCAGGAGAGGCACAATATGGGCCCCAGAGTGGGAGCGGGAAACACCAGGGCGCCCCAGGACGGCCGAGATGATTCCAGCGTGGCCCAAGAGGAGCTCAAGACGGCAAACACAGCCCAAAAGGCCTCCAAGAGGGCCCAAGAGAGCTCCGAACGATGTTTCGAGAGAGCCCAAAGAGGCCCAACTCATTGATTCGCATTGGTTTGTTCGATGTGTTTCGCTTTCTCGCGTTATCGAGCTTCCAACGGAAATCGTCGTTGTGACCACAGCGGGGCTTACAGCGGCACCCGTGCCTCATCTGCGACTAGAACCTAAGCGCGCGTAGCGCGCGCGTGTGTGTTTCCCTGGGCCCCGTCATGTATGATCCAGTCAGGTCTAGATCTTACGCTTATCCACCGAACTCATTGTATGTGGCCACATCTCTTGTCCACGTGCAATGATGGAAGTCGGCGCTGCACACGACGCGCGGTGGTGTGGCAAAGTTTGGGTGCGTGCGGATGTACAACATGACGTTAGTGTAGGGGGATTTTGTTTTTGGAACCCGTTTCGGGCAAGCAGGAACTCAGACATGATGCGGCTACGTTTGGCCCACGCAGAAAAAAAACGACAACACGTTTAGCGACTGCGAAGTGTTGACAGTTTCGAAAGAGGCTCGGGGAATTTGCAGCATCAGGGACATCACATAGCCAACGTCCGTCATCCTGCGAGCTGCCTGCTGTTAGGATTTGTTGCATCGGAGAGCGAAACACTGCGCGAGGCACTGAAGCGACTCTTTACAACTACGCGCGACGGCGTTGCCAATTTGGGCGGCATCCGCGTGATCTTCGTGGCCGCCTAGCATTCGCTTTCCGCGACAAAAACGAACAATGCCACAACAACATATTCGCATGATTTTCCCTTCTGACCAACCGTACCTGTTATTATAAATTGAACCGCGCGCGGGGTAATGTTTGACTGCGATCGTTTGACGGCCTTTTCGGTCTGTCAGTTCTGTCGTCGATTTGCAGACGGATGCGAGTCTACTCTTGTCTGCTCCCCTCTCGACTGAGGGGGGCTAGTTTGGTGTCCCGCTAACGTTTGGGCCCGCGTGCGTCAGGCACCCACCCTATCTGCCGACGTTACATGTTGTGCGCCCGGGCTGCGAGGAAATATTCCCTTTTCCTCGCCTTTCTCGCGCCGCAATACATTCTACGATCAGCTAGAAGAAGATGCTGGGTACTCTGAGTCTCGAAGTCATGATGAGCAGAGAGTCCGAGAGACGTCAGGACATGCCAGAGGAGCCGAGAAGGCCAACGAAATGCATTCCATACTTGGCGATTCGTTTGGCCCCTTTGGCCTGCACCCTTGGCCTCTGGAGCGGCTCGCGAGGCACGTGGATTGCATCCCTTGGACTGCACCACGTCGGCGGCGCTTCGCTATTGCA